AACAGAATGAATGTGTGTCTTTCCCTGAAAAGGGAAAACTTTTCACAGTTGAATGTTACATAGGCCAGTTGGGATGGCTGCAGAGAATAAGAGTTGGTTATTTTTGAGAGAGAATTTCATATACAATGAGGTCATCATAGTTACAGGTGAGATTATTTTCAGTGCTTATAAACTGTGCTTCTTTGTGCTGCACAGTTGCTAACAGCATCCACACAATTCCTCTGTGAGCAGGTGACTTTGCTATCTTTTCAAGTATCCTTTATTGCCTCTGATTATTACACATAACTAGTTTCACTGAATACAGAAATTTGTATGAAGTCAGAAGCAACAAGACTTCAATACAGTCTAGTTACACTGAAAGAGGAGGAAAGGGTGGAAGTAAAAGTTTTGAAGGAGAGCTGCTTTTAAATATAGTAGTGATTGGAAGGCTTAAAGAGGAAAGACTGCCTCCTGAGAGACTGTGGTACCCTACCCTGAACTACAATATTAAATATAAAATAGTTTCCAAGGCAGTGCTTTCTTCTCCTTCCCCTTATGCTTTTCTGTGGTCTCTTTCACTTTATTCTAAGTAGCAATTAAACTCTGATATCTATGGGCTTTTTTTCCTTTTTGCACAGTTGATGTTGTCTGCTCATCACTCCCAGACCTGTACGTGGAGAAAGTATTGGAGTTCCTGGCCTCTGCATTTGAGATAACTTGTCATTTAGAGTTCTATCTTATTTGGGCTCATAAGTTGCTCATGCTGCATGGACAGAAACTGAAAACAAGGTGAGATCTTGTGAAATTCAAAATGCTGTCAAGCATTTCAAAATTTTTTTTACCTGTCAGTTTAAGGTTTTTACTTAACGTTTACTGACATTCTAGATAATGCATATACAATAAAAAACTACTTAATTTTTACTGTTAGCAAAGAAGTTGTAAAAGTTATGGTTTGGACTTGATGATCTTAAAGGTCTTTTCCGACCTAAATGATTCTATGATTCTAACAAGTGTGTATGATAGAATTGGAATGCATAATAGGATTTGTGAGAATAAATTGCAAAAATATTTTTCAAATATTACAGGTAAAACTTCGCATAGCTTGCTTAAACGATAAATGCCTAAAGATTTCGAGAGTTATAGTAGGATTTTGGCAGTTGTATTATTAAACAATTATGCATATTAAATATAACTGAAGGGTAATGTGCAGGTACTGACTGCATTTTTATAACTTAGCTTGTGAGTACAGCATGCACTCCTAGATTGTTAGTGCTCTGCTTTCCTACATAATGCTTTACAACTACATGGGCCTGGTCTGTGAATTATATTCAGCCCAACCACAGTATAGAGTTTATGGACTTTTAGGAACAAAAATAGGCAAATTTACAAATATAAAATAGGGTGAGAGGTAATCTGAGAATGAGTCCTGCAGGTTAAGAAACCAGTGGATTGTGTAACTCTTTCCTTGTCTTCAACATGGGTATCAGTGTTTTGGTTACTGAAATGGCTGGAACAAATTTTCTTCTTTTGTTGCTGTTAAAGTAGAAGAGGACAATTTAAAACAAACTTTCTTGTTCAGAAAGTATTGTAGTACCTGGGAGGAACTGCCATCACTACAGCAAGCAGAATTAGTTCTTCAAGCTGCAGTTTGGCACTAGAAAAAAAATTATTTCTGGCAATATATTACTCGTATTGCGTATAATCATTAAGGGGAGAGTCAAAAGCAAAGAACTTTTGTCTGTTTAGTATTATCTTAAAACGTTCTTGTTGAAAAGTTAACATGTATGCTTGTTAAAATTTTGAGAGTATAGTTCTAGATTTCCATATGTAAATATAAATTGTATTCCAAATTGCACATTTTCTCCATTCAAGGTCAGTGAAGCTGCTCCCTGTGATTCAGTTCCTTCAGAAGAGCATCCAACGTCATTTTGAAGATGTTTCAAAACTGTATGTATTGTTATATTGAAAAGTTTAAATCAAAGCACTGCACCAAAGTATGGAGTAATTTGGGGGATGGATAGTGTGGTATTAGAACTTTTGAGTAAATCATCTTTTAGAGGTGTTTTTATTTTAGGAGGAACATGGAATCTTGTTTCTAACCTGTTCCTATTTATTTTTACAGCTGTGAATGGAATATCTACAATATTAAATATGCGTTGGCCATTTCGCAACAGCGGGGCATGAAGCGCATGGCAGAAGAAACATCAGTAGATGAAGACAACTTGGATTCTGACAATGATTATCTTATGCAAGAAGATCATAAGAACAATTTTAGTTCCTAGTTATTCTATATGAGAGGGAGAAAAACTGAGACTAATTTTATGCAGTGGTATTCACTGAGAATGAGTGGCCCTCATAGTGGCATAACTTCGGTGGTCTTAACAGTATGGATGGAGTTACATGTGAGTTGGTGGGGGAAATACAGGATAGACAAAGTGCCATCCATGCCATATTTGGTGTATCCTTTGGCTGTAATGACTGCAATGATTTCTTAATTAATTGATTTATTTTTTTTATTATTCCTGATTTTCAAGTAAGAAAAAAAATGTATTCTTATATCAATGCAGTTAGAAGTATGACTGGAAGAAGTGCATTCTTTATTAAAAAGCATTGTACATAGATTAAGAATTGTGAGTTTTGTAATACAGTCTTGTCATACTTTGGACTCTTTTATCATTTAAAAAAATTCTTAATTGGAGGTCTGCGTATTACTCTCAACTTGTTTTAAATGTTGTTTTACTTGGTTTTAGTATGTACCTACTACTGCAACACTCTTCTTAGTTCTGTAACTTTCAAACCCAATGAAGTTTCAATAATGAGGATAAATGATATACCCATAGCAATGAACATGGGAGAAAATTTACTGAGCTGTACAAGTTCTGCAGAGGTTTAATTAATAATCTTGAGATACTGTAGTAAACGTTTGGAACTTACCAATTCAGTAATGTAACTTAAACTGTAAGAGAATGTTACAAACATTTCTTTTTCTAATGAAAGCCCTTTATTGTCTTTTTTTAAAATGTTGTTTATTAACATATTAATAACTGAAACTTTTTATTGTTTTTTGTGAATTGGTGTGAGAATAGGCTGTGACAGTGAAGTAGTCCTGAACACAAAGAACTATATCCATATTTTAATACTTTCAAGCTACATTTTGAAAGGGCTTTGTTAATGAAGATACTGCAAACATTAATGATGAGCCAGAACTGATTTTTTTTTTTTTTTGTTATTAGCATATTCTGTGCTTCTGGTCACTTTCCACTCTTGGCATAGGGGAGACATGAATATTTAAAACTGCTGAAGAAAAAAGTAAGTCCAAAATATACAGCAGATGTATAGTCAGTTTGTAGAATTTCAGTATATGAAATAAAGATGCACTTGCTACATAAATAAAACATAGCAAAGTGAATTGTTTTTCTTATGATAAAACGTTTAAAAGTATCTTCAGTTGCTGGTGCCCCCTTGCCTAACATTTTCATGGTTGTGCCAGTGTTTTGGGGTCTCAGAGGTGTGAAGGTGTAGCTGGGCTGGAGCAATGTTTGCAGAAGATGCTCTGTGGTGTTACGATGGGATTTGGAATTGCTTGTCATTGTTCTCCCCTCTGCTGCTGCCTCCTGCCATGGTGGAAAGTTGGCTTTCTACCCTAGGTAGAAGGGGAGGCATAGGTGGATAGGGAAGAAATAGCACACCAAGAAGATAAAAATCCATCTTGGGATCCTTGTAAAACTGAAGTGCTTAAGCTAATATGAAAAACATGACCGTGTCACCTGACATGTAACATAGTTGTTACTTCTTAATCCATTTTACTGTCTTTCATCTACGTTGTCTTTGCATGCTTTTTTAAAGACCATATGACTATGACCAATAGCAGACAGGCTGTAGTCATTCTGGGACTGTCTCAGCAGTAGCTTCGTGCTCTGTAAAATAGGAGTTGTGCTGTTTCATGAAGACTGCTAACTTGATCCTGAAGTGTTTTGTCTCTTGGGGTTACAGTACTACAAAACACAGAATAGGGAGAAAACGTGGCCTTTCAGAATGACATCTTAGAAATGCATTTCTGAGTTATTTTACTCTTCAGGTTCAAAGCATTTCTGAAGATGAAAACTTCACAAAAAGTATGTTTTACAAAGTGTAAGAGCCTTGAGAGGAGGTGAGAGGGAGGGGTAGCATCACCAGTTCTTGTATATGAGATGAGGATGTGTTTGCTTGTGTTAGTCATTTTGCTTGAGCTATAAGCTTTTAGGTAATCAAGGCAAATATTGTGATACACAAAAGTCAATACAATTTTCCAGTCGGCCCTTCCATATTCATAGGAAGAATAATGAAAACTAAACCTCAGGTTTTAAGTCTGGTAGGTCCAAGGTTTGGCTTAAGCCTTGTGCTTGTTGGCACAACCTGCGTGTCTGACACTTGCCCGTGGGGGCTAGGGTGAGGCTCTGAAGCTGTACCTTTTCCCTGTCTTCCTCCAGGGCAGGTTGAGGCCACATCAGCAAACTTGCATCCTAGCTTAATTAGATCTGATTGTATATAGATGTCTATATGTATTTCAACAGGACTGTCTTTCTTACATCTAGCTTGGTTTCCTTAATAAAGGAGAGGATTAAATGAAACTTGGCCCTGTGTAATGTTTTCTTTATCCTTCTCTTCTAGAAGCAATACACTGCTTCACGAGATCCTAGAAAGAGAGAAACAAAGCTGTCCCTGTACGCAGGTTTGTTAATAAACCCAGGATGAACAGCTGTCATCTCAGTGGCCTCTTGCTGCTTCTCTATGGGTGTGCACAGCTACGGTGCAGCATCTCGCTTGCAAAAGGAACCTAGTGCTGCGCGGCCTGTGTTGAAGTCCTAAGGATTTATTTCCACGCGCGTTTTATTTTGTTTACTACTACGCATCCTATGGCTAAACGAGGTTAGGGAAGGGACCAAGGGCCTGCAGGCCCCAGCGCGTGCGGCGGGGGGGGGGCCCTGCTCCTCCCCGCCTGCAGGGGGCGCCCCCGCCGGCGCCGCCAAGGGCGCAGCGGCCTCTCCCGGCGCGGCGGGGCCCGCCCCCCGCGGCCTGCCCGGCTCCCCGCTCCCACCGCCCGCCGCCATGCCGGTGGCCTCCTGCGGGCCGGCCCTGCGCACCGCGCTGCGGCGGGCAGCGCCCGGCGGCTTCGCCTCCTTCCATCGCTCCGCTCGGCGCCTCCGCCCCGCCCGCGTCGCTGTGGTGAGTAACGGCCGCCGGCGTTGGCGGGGGGCGGGGGAGTCAGGGCAGCGCCGCAGCTCCAAGGAGAAAGGGGCTTTTTTACGGTCAGTCTGTCCCCGTCCAGCGTCAGGGCGCCTCTGCAGCTGGGTTGGCTGTGGGGGTGGGAGGGTTTGGCGTGGCGTCGGGCCGGGGAAGGACTCGCCCGATGGCCGCGGCAGCTGGGAAGCCTTGGGAGAAGCTGGTGTCGAGAAAATAAAGCTGTTTAGAATTGAGTCACTTGGAGGAAGCCAGACCAGGAGCGGGAAGCGCGTAAAAACTGGCTTCTGTATAGTTGTTACTGGCCTAGAGTTGAGTTAGGAGGAGCTGAACTTGGAATAATTTACGGTGAGATTGGGGGACGTACCGGCAGCATACCTGTGATAAAAGGTGTGATAAAAGAAGGAGAATATACAAAACAAGTGATGCACAATGCAGTTTCTCACCACACGCCAACTGGGGCCCAGCAAGTTCCCGAGCAGTGGTCCAGGCCAGTTTTCCTCCCAGTTTACACGCTGGGCCTGAGGTCATATGGTGTGGGATACCGCTTTGGTCAGTTGGGTTCAGCTGTCCCAGCCATATCCCCTCCCAGCTCCTTGTGCACCCCCAGCCTCCTCGCTGGCAGGGCAGTATGAGAAGCTCAAGAGTCCTTGATTTAGTGGAAGACCTGCTCAGCAACAGCTAAAACATGAGTGTGTTATCAACATTATTCTCATCCTGAATCGAAAACACAGCAGGGTACCAGCTACTAGGAAAAAAATTAACTCTGTCCCAGCCAAAACCAAGACAACAGGAAAATTTTTAAATTGTGTTATGCCCTTCTGCAGGAAGGAGGAGGAGCATTTTCAAAATATAAAAGAAAGTGAGGAGATTGAGGAGCTACAGGTTGCCAAAGGAAAATTTAGGCTGTAGATAGCATCTCAAATGGATACAGTTTTGGAGCTCAGTGGACAGTCTTTGGAGCTTGAGCTTTGCCTAGTCTTGACAGCATAAAATGTAAACAAATAAGAAAGCATTACCTGCATGATTAAATCTGTTTGGGGCAGAGTTGGCTCAGGAATGGACAGAATGCTGGTCCAAATGCCTAAAAGGTAACTTACCAAGAATGCTGTCATTTCAGCAAATCACAGCTTTTTAAATAGAGTGTGGAAAACAAATGTTATTGTTGACATTAGTGACATAAATTTCTGACTATGGTAAAAGACAGATTTGTCACCAAGCAGGTACTGAAGTAACAGAAGAGGATAATGTTATAGTACTTCGGTTTCAGTGAGTTTCAAAAACATTTTAAAAGTGCTGCTTATGGAAGATAACTTCAGCACAGTTGCTTGTATGTTTATTCAGTCTAAATTAAATGAAAGATAAAAAATTGGGTAGTAGAAGGAGGCTTTTAAATATCAGAGCAGCAAAATTGTAGTTAGGATTAACACAGACAGAAGAACATTCATGGATCTTACGTATTTGTTGAAGTGATGCTAAGATGTCATGCCTGTGAGAGCAGAGGACTGGGTGTTGTGATCTGAAAGCCCCTTTGAGTCCAGGATTTCTAAGACAGTTTCAGTTCGGAGTTTCTGTTCCTGTGACTGTGATTAAAAACTTTCAAGCTTCTAAAAACTGAGATAAAACCAGGAGGGAAGAGAGTAAAGTTAATAAATGGATTCTCTTTAACTGGATCTTTTTCTTTCAAAACAACCAACCAAACAAACAAAAAAAAACCCACAGGAGTTCATATATTTACTTTCAGGAACTAGATAATTCTTCGAAATTTTTTTTGGTTTTGTTTTTTGAAAGTTGTTTTTTATCCTTTCTTTAACTTTGTGAAAGACTCCCTCCACCCACCCACGGGTAGCTGATTGCTTTGTGCTTTTTATTCGCCAGTTTGTCTAAACAAACTGAAAAGTATTTTTACCATGGTAATAAGGAAAAGTGTGGCTAATATAGCATAATTGCATCAAAAGTGATTTAGCTATTGAGCTCAGAGTCAGATCTTTAGACAAATACAGCAGCAGGTAAAATAGTTTATCCTAATTGCCACCTCAGAGTGTACTTCTATCCCACTTCTGTGTGGTGTGCATGTGGATGAGAAAGTATTTCACACAGATATGGACACCTCATAAATAGACATATGACACCCCTTTTGTACACAATAAAAACACATCTACAGTGTACAGATATCGTGACAGTTTATTAACCCTGAGGAATAAATGCAAAAGCCAATAAATAAATTTTAGTTATTTCTGAGAGCTGTCTGTGATGGGCAGCTATAAATAGGAAATGTCAGTTCTGCAGTATGTCAAATGGCAACACCAGTGCTAGTAGCATGATGTTGACTGGCTTAGTAAGGAACTTGTTGCTAAGTTGCTTTTTTAGGGGCCTGGAGGGAGGCTTGTTGTTGTTCGGGTTGTTTTGTTTTGTTTTGTTTTTTAAATCTTACAAGGCTTGTGAAAGACCCTGTAGGAAGTTTTATATCACCTGAAATATGCTCTTGGTTGTTTTACTGCAGGTCCTGTCTGGTTGTGGTGTCTATGATGGCACAGAAATCCATGAGGCCTCAGCGTAAGTTCCTTTATGAAACTATAGGCTCCAAATAAGTCTCATTTAGATTACAACAGTCGACTGAATTCAGTTTTGTGCTCTCTGGCCATCAAAAATGCCCTGGAAGATGTATGGTGAAGCTTCACAGTTTTCTCACAGCATAAGCGGGAGCTCTGGCCGCATTCTTGCAGTTCTTAGTGATTGTCCAAAAATGCAGCACGGTGCACACGATGCCAGAGCAGTGAGTTTTAGAGACTGTCTTTCCTTCAGAAACAGAAATTCAGAGTTCCAGAATCAATTTCAAGAGAGTTAAGTAAAGACTTCATTTCACAGTCACTTTGAGTTCCTGGGGCTAAGTCTAACACTAGAGTTGTTAATTCTCAAGTTGAATTATTAACTCTCAGTGTTAATTGCTAAGAGATATTTCACCTAGACCTAGATTAAATGTACACACAGGTATGTTAATTCTGCGACTCTTCCATAACACCTGGGGGCGTGCAGTGAGAAAGGAAGTTTATATTGTTCCTGTTTATGGCATAAGAGCACTGAACAAAGAAACTTGTCTCTGGTTTACCCAACCCTGCCTCCAAACTGGCTTTCTGTTCTGCCCTGCACTTTGGTGTTACGTACAGGGATTTTGCTGCTATGTGCTCAGTATGCTTTGGTAGGATGTGTGGTTTTCTTTCAAAACCAGGTGGTGGAATATTTGTAGCAAGACTTAGGGCCCAGATAAAGCCTCTCTTCTAAGGTTTTCAGCACATTTATCTCTGTTTTTGTAGCATACTGGTACACCTTAGTCGTGGGGGAGCTGAGGTTCAGATGTATGCTCCAGATGTTCCTCAGATGCATGTCATTGACCACAGTAAAGGGCAACCAGCTGAAGCAGAGTCAAGGTAAAGCCTGTGTTTAATGTGTTTTCCATGACTGCTGAGTCTCAGTCTCTTAGGCGTTTGTTCTTCAGACACAGCATCCTTTAACTGCACTTGTAGCTCTTTACTAACTGGCTTTAGTAGCTTTATGCTAGCTGGTATTTGATTGGAGAGAAAATATTAAATGAGTTTTCTGGACTTGATTGTATATAGTCTCTTAATGCTTACGTTTCCCAATAGTAGTATTTCAGAAACATCGATAGCTTCAGTTATTGAGAACCACTGTTCTTCTTGCTTCCTCCCTTCCTCTCCCTCCTCTTCCTCTGCCAAAACTTTATTTATGCTCTTCTGTGCTCAAATGCTTATCTCATTGTTTTATTTCTGGTTCTTCAAGGAACGTTTTAGTGGAATCGGCAAGGATTGCTCGTGGTAAAATTGCAAGCCTGTCTAAGCTTACTACAGCAGACCATGATGCTGTGATATTCCCTGGTGGATTTGGAGCTGCTAAAAACTTGTGAGTGCCAACTAAGCATTAGACTCCTCAAATAAATACTCATGATCAACTATTCATAATGAACTGATTCACACAATAAAATCAGAAGGCAGTCAATGGCCTTATTTACTACGTATATAACCACTAATTAATAAGAAAAACTCCTTTCAAAGTGTTCTGCTGTTCATGATGGTTTCCAGTCATAATTCTTGGTGGCATAGTCACATTTTAAATTTTCCAAATGATATTGGTGAGAATTCTGGAGTTTAGATGATGCACAAGAAGTCCTTTTCCCCCCACCCTTGTGGGGATTCTTTTGGGGCCTGTGAAAGGGAAGTGAAATTAAAACTTCAATGGTTTCAGGTGTTCCTAGTGCTATTATTCTGTTTCTTCCTGTGTACCTAGCAAAAAGTCCCCTCTTGCATTAGTAACCATAAAACAACAGCTAGCTCAAAAATAAAAGAAAGTGTGAGCCATGTTGAATACTGATTATCTTGTTATTGACCTGCCATTTTGTTGTCTTTGAGCAACCTGAATTTTATTTCCCTTTTCTTCTTAGGTATTTTTCTTCTTTGAAAACATTGTTGTTCCACTTCTTAGTAATTCCAAAAAGCTGATTTGGTAATTCTTATTTCTAGATGTTTATATCAAGTAAGGAACTTTCTGACATACCAAAGCCTTAGAAGTGAGTCATTTTGGCTAAAGCATTTATGGCCAGCTACAGGCATTTTCAACCACCTTTTAGAAGCTGTTGAGTTCCTGTTGACCCTTGAGAGCCCGTGTCGGGGCAGATAGGCATCTCTATTTTAGGTTCATACTGAAGTATGTATAAAGTTTCTTGTTGTGGCAGATCTACCTTTGCTGTTGATGGGAAAGATTGCAAGGTGAACAGTGAAGTTGAACGTGTCTTGAAAGACTTCCACAAAGCAGGCAAACCTATTGGGTATGTATGTTAGTTGGAGGGGCATTTGCTTGATAGTGTGTGCATGGAGACAAAGTATGTTTTGTGGAAATGTGCAGCTGTTATTGTTGGAACTAGAAAAAGCATCTTCTCTTTTGTATCAGTTGTAGCTTATGTTTTTTAAATGTGTTTTTCAAGATGTGTATGTGTATGTAGGCGTTTGTCAGACAAGAGGCTAAGAAAATGCTGAGTGGAAGTTGCCTTGTGATGTCTTTCAGATTTGTAAGATCATGTCCATTTGAATCTTTTCAATTATGACCAAGTGTTGAAAGAGTGCCATTGTAGAATCGCTCTTATAATGCCTTTTGTTGCAGTCTTTGCTGCATTTCTCCGGTGTTGGCAGCAAAGGTTCTCTCTGGTGCTGAAGTAACTGTGGGCCACGAAGAAGAGGAAGGTGGCAAGTGGCCTTATGCTGGGACTGCAGGAGCCATTAAAGAACTGGGAGGAAAGCATTGTGTGAAAGAAGTAACTATATCCTTTCCTGTTAATTTCCATGTTGAGAAACAATTTAGTAATGTGTCATTACAGTAATGAATACATGCAGGATCTGTGCTTTTCCACCTACAGTGTATAGCATGTAATATGGTGTGCGATTAGAAACGTTGTCTTCTGTACACAGCTGTGTAGTTAGAAGTTGTTCTCAGTCATTGCCATAGAACTAACTCCCTTGGACACCCAGTAATACACTAAGTGTTGAGTGAATTCTCACATAAAACTGGCATGAGTTGCAACTGATCAGTTCTCACAGATTTTTTTTCCTTTTCTGGAAGGCTAATTCTGTAATCAAACTGTACTCTGACACATTTTATTACAGTCAGTACATTTCTTAGGTTTTCTTGTGTTTCTGAGCGTTCCCACAGATTGCTTTTGCAGTATTTGTATTTCTGTCAAAAATAGCTTCTAGTATCTTGGATTATAGTTCGCAGCTGTCTTTACAGCTGGATGGTATGTTATATTTGAAGATGCTTTTTTATAGAATAGTGGAGTTGTGAGGTTTTTGTCAATGATGGTTTATTTTGCACACAGCATCTGCAAGTGAGACACAGGCTGTGTTTTCCTTAACTCCCTTTTACGAAGCACATGTGGATACAAAAAACAAAGTCGTGACTACCCCAGCATTTATGTGTGAAACAGAATTACATAATATCTTCGATGGTATTGGAGCCATGGTAAAGAATGTGCTAAAATTAACTGGCAAGTAACTCCCTCCCCGCCCTGCACCCAAAAAAAAGCCCGAAACAGAACAAAACCCACCTCCCCACCCCCCCGAAATATTAAAATTTAGGGTCTAGTGTCAAATATAATGTACATCAATGGAAACATTTTCACCTGCTTGTCCTGTTCACACTCTAGTAAACGCTGATATGAAGCTGATTGATTCCCAGCTGCAGGGTTTCCATGCCCTTTCTGAGAGGGGCCTGCAGAAGGGCTTATGGCCTACAAGCAGTCTGGCCTGAGATACAGAGCATTTTCTTGAGCTTTTTCAACTGGAGAGAGCTGTGTGGATGTATTCTGAAACCAGTCCTCCCAATGCACCAGTGTCAAATCATTTCGGGGGGGGGGGGGGGCAAAAAGAGACCAAAGGCCCTTTCAGAAGCTGAGGGCAGATGCGTTGTAGAGATACAGCACATGCAGTGGCGCTCACTCTATATAGTGGCTGAAGAATGGGAGTAGAGAGGAATTAGTGTGTGGTTCAAGGTTTATGTGCTCAGGCCGGTATCTGAACTAAAAGCCAGGATCTGCTGTCAAGGGAATAGACATCTTCCACTTCTTAATTTAGTTTGGTATTAATTACAAATTAATGTTTTGGTTTTCCATTTCAAAGAATCCTGTTTTCACAAAGGAGCCATTCTGAATATCAGTCAGCAGCAGGAGACATCTTAACTGTCACAATGCTAGCACTTTGAAAAATTCATCCATTGGCCCATTATAACTAAAAAGGTCTTGAAATGAAGGAGGAAATATCTGCTGATGTGACACACAATTTTTAAGGATAATGTCCATGTTAAAGTAGTTGCATGACTAGCTGTGGATGGAAAAAATAATCTCAAATTATCCCTAATTTCTCTGCTTTAGGGTATTAAAGCTTTCTCCAAAGAAATACTGAATGTCTGGAATAATGATGTATAAATAAATTAATTTCTGGTATTATCTCATCCTTGTCCCTTCACTTTTGTTTGAAAGCTGCCTCTGATAAGTTATACTGGTTGATATATTCCAGCAGTTTTTCTGCTTTTTTGTTCTCTTCATGTCTGAGACATTTTTGCCATATAGAATCCAGCAGAGTTTCCTTCCCCCCGTTCAAGTTATTTATCAACTTTCTGTTCTACAAGAAGTAACATTCCTCAAACTAAAACAAACAAAATAACACCCCCTACCTTGTATTAAAGTTTCTTTTACATGACAGACATGCTGAAGGGAACCCTTATTTTTAAGGGAGAATTGTGTGTTTAATAAATGAAATCTACAAGCAGTAGATTGGGTTCGAGTATGGTAAATACTGTCTGTGGCTGAAGACTGGCTGAGGATGTGGAATTACTTTTTTTTTATTGGAGGGAGCAAGAGGGGGAATAAATCTTGAATTTGAGTGGTGAACATGCTTATCTTGCTCAGTCAGTGTTCATGGTAGAAGTGTTTTTGCTTCTGGAGCCTCTTAGTATGCAATTTATTTTGTTGTCATTAAAATCACATTAGGCTTTTGAAGATCTGAATGTGTATTTCAAAGATGGCACTATTTTCTTGGAAGATTTCATAGTGATCTCTTGCAGATCACAAACTCCAGTGTAGGTACAAAGAAATGATACACAGAAACCAAGTCATCATGGTAGCAGGCATGCGTCATAAAGTGGATTTTGGACATACTCTGAAACTTTTTTGCTTGTGCATCAAATTCTTTAGGAATTTTTCAGTATCAAGTTGGTAAGAAAGAGAATTTCAAATACTGCCACTATGTAATTCAGTGCAAATAAAGCCTTTCCTCCATAAGCCTTGCTTGTACATAAATGGATGTTTTTAGTACCAGTTTTATACACAGATGCGTAGCAGACTATGGGAGGTCATTATTCATATAAAATGTAGTGACATTTGAAAATGTGTGTCTTTCCTACATCTGCATTACTTTAAAGTAATCTGTTAACATAAGAAAGTATCACAAAACAGGAATGATATTGAAATCTCCGGAACAGAGGGAGAACAGCTGCTGCTGGTGTTAATGGTACCTTCCTCTGCTATAAGAGCAATCCACTAAATTGAGCTCAGCTCTTCCCATCAGAGACTTGGAGTTAAATCTTTCCATTAGCTCCCACCACCACAACAGGTTGTATCTTTTATTTAGGGTTTCTCATACCTGCAGTTCCTATTAAGTGCAGCTGTGGTGACATAAAGCTGTTTTAGATTCTGAATCTTGGATTCACGTGTCCTGAGAAAAAAGATGATTTTCTGAAAAAATTGCTATGAACATGTAGTGACAAGCTGTTGCAAGTTTGTTGGTAGATCATCCAGATTTTGCCTCTTTATACAGTCCTCTGACATTCTTTCTTGAGTCCAGATACCCAAATAATAAAGATGACTAATAATCTGCTGTGTACCTTTCTAAGCAGATGCAGTGGTGATCATGTGGATCCCTGAGCTGGTGACTTCCAGGTTGGATTACCACAGTAGCACATGCTTAGAATCAACTATGCAAGTTGGAAAGCTCACCTAATTTGACATGATATCTCATCTGCAAAGTACCAGCAGTACTCTGAAATACTGGTCTCCATGTCAGTGACTGACTGAGGGCTAGGACTGTGAGTTGTAACAGGAACAACTAAGGAACCAGCTCCTTCTCAGCACCTGAAACGTTTTTCAAGGTGGTTACAAAAAGTGATCTACCCATACAGTGTTGTCAGTGCTGGAAGCTTGGGCATCTAGCGGGGATGGGACAGATATGCACTGAGGAAATCAAAGAGAAAATTTTATTTTCAGAAACAGCCACATTTTGGAGCATCTTTTTGCCTTTTTTTCCCTCAGTCAGAACATTTTTAAGGGAGAAAGAATCATGCACCAGAATTGCCTTTTTTTTTTTTTTTAATTATTCTGATTTCACAATAATGTGCTGAGTACAGACCTTTGTTACACACATTTTAAAATATTTTTTTTAGTAATAGAAGATCTTTTAACTTTCGTGGAATATGTAAGATTGTCATCTTGGCTTTCAGCCAGTGTAAATTTGGAGGGAAATTCCACGTGAGTTTAGAGGTTAATAGAGACATTCATCTGCCAAGCTGGGTTTTTCCCTTCCTTCCACAGGGCTGTTTGGAGCTGCTGAGGGGTTTGCTAGTTTCAGCCAAGTGGATGGAAGTTCACGATTAATGTGTTTTGTTAAACACGATCAGAAATAAGAAGGGAAAGAATGTGTATTCTTCAAGCCTCCACAAGGAGGCATGCAATATCTGGCTTATGGATCCTGCCGGTTTTCATCTTCAGAAATCATTTAAGAACTTTGTCCTGCTGAAAGGGAGTGGTAATAAATGCCCCTCCTGCTTGTGCTGGCTTTCTAGCGATGTGATGGGGTTAACTTGTGGGGTGTGGGGAGGAGTTGTTACCTCTCAGTTGTGTTTCTGCCTGCACTATTTTGCCCTCATTGATGCTTAGACCCAAAAAACATTTACAGAATGTTTCTCTGTGGATTGTTGCAGTGTTCACAAATTTGACAGCAGTGCATTTTTCTTCTGAAAGCAGAAACAAGTTAGGGATTGAGATGCACTTTCTGTTTTTACACTTCAGTTTGTGGCTACAACAGAGACACGCTTTGGGTGAATAAAATGTCAGCAGGGGGCACTTTGTGAACAATGTTCCGTGCAGGCTTTCACTTACCCAGGCACAATATTCCAGCTGTTGTTTTCTGTAGGACGTTTTTGTGTTGACATTTTGGGTGCATAAAGGGAATCAAACAAATGCTCCTTCCTGTTTAATAAAAATAAATAGGAAATCCAGTTTCATCGCAATGAATGCACTTGTCCTGCTGTCTTGTCAAGATTCATTTCTTCAACGCAGTGACTTCTTATTTACCCCTCTGAAAGTATAATATCAAATATTCTTCCATTAATCTCTAACGCCTTCCTGTGATATAATTATCACTGAAAAATGAGGAAAAGTGTAGCATAAAGTAATGAAAGTGCACAGTGGGGTGTTTGTTGTTGTGTTTTTGGAGTTTAATCTTTGATTTGTTTTGGTTTGTTTTAAATAATAATGCTATTATAGCCAAGGTGACCTAAAAACAAGGTTTGTGGGGAGGGGCTTTTATTAGGCCAAGAAATGCTCTTGAAAGGGAACACACTGTTTCTTGAAGGGTCTGTGTGTTTGCAAGGTAGTGGTATCTTACGTGTGTGTATACGTACGTATTTTTCACACAATCCTCCATCTGCAAATAATTGAGAGTTAGCTTGCATTCCAGAGCTCGAGTCTTTTGTTTGATCTGTTTTTCTTCCTCCTTACCTGGGCTTGCAGGGGCTGAGGGGAAGTTTGCTTGTTGTATGGGTCAGCCTTAGCCGTCAGAAGGAACTGATGTTTAGTTATCTTTTCAAAGGTCATTTCAATGGTGGTCAGAATCTCTGTGGAAAGAGATGGAAAGGAAAAGAGAAGAGTCTAAACTAGGACAATCCCAGAAGTTGAAACAGAAGTTGCAGTAAGGATTGCATTACCCATAGCAGTATGGTTATGTGCTGCATATTTAAAAATAATCACCTTCCACACTTATTTTCAATATTTTTCTGTATCCTTTGTTCAACTGCTGATTATCATGCTATGTGAATGACTGCCCTCAGGCTTAACTGAAATAGTGGTGAAAATTCTGCATCAAGTGTACTACATTCATTTATTGCTGATGATCTCTGTGGGCCATTTCTCCCGCATAGTGTGGAACTGAAAGGAGCTCAGAAGAAAGCATTAACCAGTTAAACTGGCCTCACTGTAAACTTGGTTTGTTCATCTTGTAGTTTTATCTAACTTTTTGTCTTTTACCAGTGTCACTGTCAAACGTGAAAAAATGAACTTGCTTTTATAGCCGTTCTTTTGCAAGAATAATGCACAAGGATCTCTTAAGAATTTCTTTAATGTAGCAGATTATCAGCCTATGCTCTTGCCACATGAAATACGTAGGTGTGGGCCACCAAAGTACTACAAGTGAGAGAAATGGAGATACCTCCTTCCTAAATGTGTGAATTGTTACTGCACTCCTTAATTTTAAAAACTATCCTTCTTGTTTGCAATGAAAATCTGGAAAACACAAGAAATATGTGCTGCTCATGTCTGCACACTGAGTGAACTTTAAGACATGTGCTTGCTGTGTCATCACCCAGGCAAGGGAGGACAAATCAAGGTCAGCTAGTCATTCAAATCTTGCCTTGCAGTCTCCCAGGAAAACAGAATGGCAGTTGTATATTACTACTGGGAATGGCATTAACTACAGCTCTGGGAAAATATAATAAACAGGGACATTTAAACATCCCAAGTGCTGCTGCAAATCTGAGTCATAAAACAGTAGGGTTGTAAGCAACATTTAGAGGTCATCCAGTCTTCTTCCCCCCACCCTTCATTCCTCTACTTTCATCTGCTCATGTACTTACTGAGATTCATGACAGTTTGCATCAGGAGGGAGAATTGCTTCTGAGGGTGAAAGAAGCAGATGACTGAGGGAATTGGGCATTCCTTGTAGGCGTCGGCCAGCACAGGGCCTGCTCTTAGATGTACAGCTGGGCTGACCCTTTCCACAGCAGCGAGGCTCAGTTCTAGCCCTGCGTGCCCACATGAAGATATTTAAGCAATTATTCATTTGCTTGCCCAATAAATTTTTGCAGCTGTATGGTCACACAGCTTGCACTTGTGATTGAAGGCGCTCATGTTGTTCGCGTGCCTTGACACCTTTTGACAAGCAGAGGACTGCTTAAGTGGCTATTAGATTTTTAGAAGTCATATGGTCCTTGAGATGAGGGCAAGCATTTCAGACTTTTGGGACTGACGGACGTGTACAAATTCCATGTTTCGGGCTTTCTGATTGTACAGGAGCCTAGCTAACTGTAGGAACAACTGGAATATACAAATTAAGAACTCTTAGAGACCAAGCAATTGCTCTCATAGTTTTTTTTTTTTTTTTTTTTTTTTTAAGTTTTAATCAACCTTTTTTTTTTTAAATACATGCAATCTGATAAACATTTGGAAGGTAGGACACAAAAAGACAATCACAGTATGTACAATTCTTATATTTAAATCTTTCCGTGAAGTGGGACCCCAGCAGTTATGCTAAGCTGCTCTGTACCCAGGGTAGCCTAAGTACCAACCGAGCTTGTCCACAGCAGCAGCACAGGCTGTGCTTGGAGTTTTGTCTCTTTGCCCCACCATGGGGAAAGGGCCCTTTGTTAAGAAAGTCAAAGGTAACTATCACCTTTACCTCAACGGATACCATTTAAGCTATATTTTATTCTGCTTCCTTCCTTGCAAAAACAATCCTGTCTTTTCTTTGGAAAGAGGGTAGAACTGTTCCAAATCAAAACGGCTTTATATGCATCCTTGTGAGTCACTTCCCTCTGCCTGAGGGCTCAGCCAGGAGGAGTGCCTTGCAGTCACCGCTGCTCACCAGCCGGGGTGAGCAGTTCTCCGGATGCTTCTCGGTTCTGTAATAGGGTGGTTGCAGCAGCTCTGGCCTGAAACAAAACTTATGCACTTTCTTGATGTTGCTGGTATACAGGATCCTATCAATCTTAGTTTTACACAGGACATCTGTGCTACCTGAATCAAATGTGTCCAGAACTAAGCCCATTTAATTTGCATAGGTATCAGTTACAATTATTCTGACAGGTTTTTAGTTCTTTTTTCCTCCAAAGATACTGTTTTTAAAGAAGTAACATTGTCACAGTAACAATTTCCTATTGCACAGTTCTAGCCCAAGAATCCAGCTTTTGCAGGATGATCATTTTTACCTTGCTGTGTTTCATGACAAAAAATACTGAATTCAGCTGTCTAAAGCTTTTGACTTAATTAGAAGTGGATTTTGTAATAATACATCACTTCCTTCCTTTATGTTGTTTTCTGAACTTGCATTATGTTTCTCGGTCAGCTTCACCCTTCCGCTGAAGAAATACTACATTTCTTGTGGAAAAAAAGTTGTTGCTGATAGCCTATGACGCTTAAGGTTAAAAATGGTCGCTAAAGTTCCACAGGCTCAAGTTTCACAAGGTTTCCTTATATTTCACAAAACGCGGATGTCTTCCAACTTCCAGTTTTCAGCGGACACAGAATTTAATTGCCTCTTCTCCTTTCAATTCCATTGAAGGACAGCAGGTGAGATACTAGGCGAAAGATCTCACTAGGGTCAATTGCAATGTGACCTTGTAGTTTTGTGAGTCTTTTATCCTGTCATTAACGCAAAACCACAAAATCCAAAATAAAATGTTCATACTGGCAGCACTAAAACTAAGCTCCAAGAAACAAATGAAGAAGCAGACTTGCCATCTCTGAATTTGCTGCCTTTGGTTTTTTGAAACACCAAAATGCAGGACATGAACACCTAGTGCTAGGTCCGATTTCAGTTTTTCTTTCAGTTTTCAGTATTTCTTTCATGTGATTCTGGAACAGTTGTCATGCTAACCCTACAGAGGTGTTCTGCCCAGCGAGGTCCTCTGGTGAGGAGAACTTTCCAAAGAGAAAGTTGGTTTCCCCAGTTACAAGTGCCAAACCCCGAGTGTGACCAAGAGGTGGAAAGAGAGGGGAAGCATTGCCAGATATGGCACATCAGCAGGGCTTCTGGAGGAAATCTGACTGTGTCCTGAAAAAAAAGAGAAAGTCAGCATGTAACTGGTGGCTTTACAAGGAGTGTATTTGAAGTTTGTTCATATTTTACATGAATGCATTGATGAAAGATTGTTTTTAGATTTTGGCTCATTTTCAAAATTCTTCGTGTGTGTGTGTGTACCATCCAGAAAAAACAGTCTTGAGGTACTGTGACATCATTGTTTCTCCTTCATTGAAAAGGCACAGAGACTTAGCAGCAATGAATACGACTTCCTTTTCTGGATGACTGAGAATACTTGCTTAAAAATGTGGCAGAACAACAACTAAAAGAGTATAAAATACATTATCATTTTCCCTACTCAAGGCCTGAGGTAGGCTTTGTGATCAAAAGTCCATAAATAATGGTAGTAACTATTAAGAAGTGTAGGCCACAGACGCTGAGGTGGTAGCAGCACTGTGTACCACTATTGGTACGTAAGCCCCAGTGTGGACGCAGGGCACAGATTACCCTTGCCACAGATGGTACCTGCAACCTATGCTGGATGTATACACAAGTGAAAAAAAGATTTTGAACCCCTGGCTTAAGCAGTAGAGAAATTTTTCCTGTATGTGTTTAGGTCCAAGTCCTTCTCTGGGAAGATCAGGGTGTATATTGTTTTATACATCAATTCTAGGCTGTTCCTTTTGCTGTGGTATCAGCTTTCAGTATGTTGGTGCAGTTAACTTACTGCTAGTAGGGGTGCTTCCCCCCCTCTTCCTAGAAGGGTTATGTGGCATTAACATGTAAAAAGCAAGTAAACATCAGGTATTCCTTGTTAACAAGTTGAAAGAAATATAGGATTATAGCAAGTCTCCTGGCCTCTCATGACCTCTTTCAGGCCTCTAGGAACTTTTCATTTTTCCCCAAAAAAATTTAAAACAAGTTCCGGTTGACCCAGAAGGAGTCTTACAAGAAACTCAGAGTGATGGTAAAATTAGGCTCTTTAAAATAACTAGGAAAAATAATCAATCCAGCAAATAAACAAACATAAATTAAGAAGAAGTGAAATAGATCAAAACTGTTTCTGTTTTATATAAAAATAATAAATATCTGCTGATCTGGCTAAGATGACTGTGAAGTGTGAGAACTCTTTCTGCATACAGTGTCTTTGTTCTAGCAGGTCATTTAGCTTTTCTAAGTCTCTTGCAAAATAACAACTAATACAAAACAGATTCTCTTCCTCCATTTCTTAAGAAATTGCTTAAAATTAAAAAAAAATGGGAGCTGTGGCTGGTGGTTTTCTTTAAAAGAAGTTGCCAACAGGAAATATTTTTCCTTTTTTCAAAAAATTATGTTTCAAAATTTAGGCTTTTGTTCTTTTCTCCATCCCCAAGCCCCCCCAATTCCGGCAGTACAGGAACCTTCAGGTATCTAAAGTGTGTGATTCAGTTTGTTCTTCTATAGCAAAGGTGAAACACTCCCCCTTGTCCCAATTGCTTTTTTTTTTTTTTTTTTTTTTAATTAAAATACCTTTTCATGTTAAGAAATAGTTTATATTGAGGAAAAACTGTCAAAGATTTTGTCTGAGTCAAACATATATACAGCTATCTTCTTTAAATACAGCTAATTACCTGTTGGTTTTGAGAAGCTTCCACTGCTACTGCATTAAAAAGTTTGACCCTTAATAATTTCTTATTTCTTGTGGAAGGTAACTAGAGATATTCTAGCTCCTGTTCTGTTTGCCTTTATAATGTTATAATGCGGTGCTGTGTCACTGAAGGCACATTATACCATCTTGAATTTAACTTCATGTTTTTTAAAGACCTTTTAGCCAGCTCGTGAGGCTATCTTAGGTCTAAAAAGGATACTTCTTATAAATTTTCAAGTTGTTTATTACTTATAAAGTACAAAGCTGATTTTTTTCTGCGTGGTCATTAGATAAAACACTGGAACATTTCCGTAGTTTCTATTTGAGTTTATTGCTGCTTAATCTGGCTGTAACGTCATACTGTGGCTGAATTTAACATGTTAACTGTAATATAATTATTGTTACGTAATGGATTATATCTTTTGGTTACACTGAGTAAAATACAAATTGCAGCTCTTGGGTTTTATATGACAAAATGATACAGGTTTGATACCAGTGTAAGATTTTGCAGAGCTAATAAGAATAATTTGGTTTACAATCAGGATTTTTATGGGATAATTTACTGACAGTGTCATGTCAGAGCTGGATAGCCCTTTTGTACTGCATTCACTCCAGAAGTGTTTACAAATGACCCTAATGTAATTGCTTTTCTGTAATGATTAAACCTAGACATTAGCATCTGCACTGTACTTCAGAATTGCCTTTGTATGAGATCTACTTTAATCTTCCCAGAAGAGCGTATGTGGAGTCATTAATCGTGTATTCTTAGAATACTTATTACCTTATTTACCCAAAAGGACCTCCCCAAATCTTTTGTTCGTACCAAGGTAATTTACAAAGGTCTTAACTCCCAGAGCCAAATGGCTTCCATGTTACTTCATTTTTATTTATTTTTATGATGCCCATAATGGTGAGTAGCTTTATGGACTAGTAACCGCTGACACTTCAGTAGTATTCTTTCTGCAGTCTAGGTCTGTCTTAGTGGTGGAGAAATTTTTCCCTGTCTGGGACAAGTGCATTTTGTTACTTAGTAAGAGAGAACAAGCACCATAAGTCTGTTGGACTTTCTCTATTCAGCACATTTTACCAATCTTGCAAATTCAAATGAAAGCACTGGATAATCACTTAAACGCTTAGCAGGTTAAGGAGTATTGCCTTACCAGAAGGGGAAGGTGCCTCCTCTATGCTCGGTGGAGCTGGAAAAAAAAAAATAATCAAAGTTATTTGTTTGAGTGTAGAACAGAAAAATGGTACTGATAATTGATCTAAGGGTTGGTGGTTTTTTTCTGAGAAAGTATAGATTTGTCAAACAAATTGAAAGTTTAAATATGATCATAGAATTAAATCAGAGTAAAAGATACCTTACTGCTCCCAAAAATTAGATGATGAAAACATTTTGATTGTGCATTTTCAAATCCCTTTTTTTTTCATTTAGAAAACTGTGAAACATTTCACTTTGAAATTTTATGAACTTTTTTTTTCTGAACAGTATTTCACTGTACATTTTAAAATGCTTTTTCACATGAGAATGATGTGCATTAAAACAAAAATATTAAAGGGTTTATATTACTTGACAATAAGTAATTTTTCTATTTTAAGCAGAATTAAATGTGTGTGGTTGACCATAATAAAAGTTTCCAGCTGATTTATTCAAGCAAGCCACCTTAGAAAATTTGCTTTTTCAGTTGGTCATCTGGTCAAACCCAATGCCCCATCATTCTGCTGGCCATGCTTGTAGGTAGTTCAAACTCATTAGCTCAGTTTGGCATTATTCAAATATGTGTGATGGTCTCATTTTCCTAAGGAAGAAAAATAATAATTCTTGTTGCATGTGTCCAGTCTTGCCACCAGATCCAGATTTTCCAGCTGCAAGGGAAAAGAAAATTATCAACTGCCTGTCTTTCATCTGAAAGTGTATATAGCCTGGACTTTGGATCCAACTGCCAGAGATGAAACTAATCCTGCTTCACAGACCCAAGTGCAAACAATGAAATTCTGTTCCTCTGGGACAAGGTGGATCCAGGATGGTATGAACCTATAAATAACCAAATACTTAAAAGTCGGGGGAGACCTCATTATTCATTAAGATCTGCAAAGGGAGGGGGAAGAGGCAGGCGACTTGCCTTCAGGAGTCCTGCTGCTTGTGTGGATATGCTGTGCTGAAGCTTAACAAAGATGCAGAGTTTTTTTCCTTCTCACTTATTTTTTCAGCAAAAGCAAGGAACACAATGAAACTGAGTGAAGTTTTGCTTTAAAAATTGAAGTCATGCCAGTCGATGGCCATATTATATGGCTTGTCAACAAGAAATGCTGCCCTCAACTCCCTCCCTCTGAACTAAAAAAGGAATCTTACCTGTTACAATGAGTTTAATTTTAGATTTCTGTGTTTCGTTGGGATGATCCCCAGTCTGTTTGTAGATGCAGTCGTATACAGCTGTGTCCGGTAATTGGACATTGGAGAGCTTTAAGGAAAGGTTGCCATACTTCATCTGGTCCAAAAAAAGACTAGTTCTGCCATGGTAGCGTTTGTCCTGCAACTTCAGCGAATCCTGCCCATTGTGAAAAAAGTGCACTAAGACAGAGTCTATCTGCCAGTAGAGCATTGAATTGGAAAGGATCAGCTCTCCAGGAGAGGTGGTGGTGCAAGGCAAAACAACAGTTTCTCCAACAAATGCATGGCATGTTGTGTCTGGTTGACCTGGAATAAAAAACAGACAGCTTTCTCAGTGTGCAGCAGAGCTAGGGACGCCAGGTTTCCTGTAATTTGGCTTCGTTGCATCATTGTGGTATCTCTTCCTCTCCATTCTTCTGCCCGTGTCCTCCTGGTCCCAGCCAGGCAGGAGGCACTATGTGCTATGCCAGGACTAAGGGCCATGTCTGCTCAGTGCCCTGCCAGCGGTGCAGCAGGACAGATGTTGCTGCATGCAGGTTGCCTTCTCTTTGTCCGTGTGGGTGCTACGTGAAGTTGTCTCCTTAGTTGGTGAATTTTCTCCCAGCTTCTGGGGATCTTAAGTCTTTGAGATCAAGTGCCTGATTTGATTATAAATAGTCGGTCAGTTCACAAGAGGAAAAGGGGATGCAAGGAAGTGAAGATGGGCAGACATGATTAAGCAAGTTTTGGTTTTGTAGGAATTCTGACTGAAGAAGGAAAAGCATGAAAAGGGTGTTATATCAGCAGGAGAAAAGTTCTAGATAAGTTTGATCTCCCCCAACTCCCATTGCTTGCCTATCAGATCATGGCTCCCGATTTGTAAATAATGTGCTAGAGGCCCCCATCTCCCTTCCCCTGTGACATCTTGCAGAGGGTCTGACAATGCTTTTTTCTGCAGGTCTAGCTTGCTAACACCTGTCCTGTGGCCTCTCATAGTCTTTGGTATAGTTATACTCTCAGTACCCCAGAAAGAAGGTCTGTCGTTCCCACTTGAGGTAAATGACTTTTTCAAGGCCTCGGGGAGACAGGTACTTTGTACGGGTGGCCAGGACGTCGGGCAGAGATGCTACCAACCTTACCAACCAATTCCAGCATGTGCAAGAAGAGGGGTGAGGGTAGCCTGCTGGTGAACAAACAGGCAGACAGGCAGGGCGGGAAGCCAGATGCATCTCACTTATACACACTGTTCATTGAATAACTTTGATACGAATTATTTCTATAAATTCTTCCAAGTTAGTTGAAAGTATACTAAAACTTGCACAAGTTGGATGAGTCTGCCACTATCATGTAGGACAACTCTTACTAGGTTTGTGGTGTTATGTTTTCTGGGGGAACACTGAGCTATGGAAGAAGGCTTCTCTGCATTTATGAAGCATAGACAACTAGGCATTTTCAGGACAGAAAGTGGGCTTAAATTAATGCTTTGATCAAAACGGTTTCATAAAATTATTTTATAAATTAAAATGCAGATGAATTCATTTGGATAAAAAACTCGTCCGCAGCAGGGAGCAGAACAAAAGCAGCATGAGTCTGCAATTGTGCCAAGAAGAAAAGCTAAAATTCACTGTGAAACAACTCAATCTGTTTTCATGGCCAAAGTTCTGTGAACCATAAGGGGTAAGTAATCAGTCTAAATAAAGAAAGAAATGTTTTTGGTCACAGTGTGGTCATTCCTGTGTTCTAGGCCTGCATCAACTCTGTGCATATATTGGGCTAAAACCAAAGAGAGTCCCAGTTCCCCCCTGAAGTCAGAGACATCAGCCAGGGCTCAGCTCGTTACATGCTTGGGCCTCTGTTTCCATATTAATCACTGTCTGTTTTGAGGTTTGTTTGGTGTCACATTGTGTCTATACAGACAGACATAAAAGCAGAAGGAAAAGTATAATTCTTATGAATTATAATTATTATAATTTAGCCTCATAGCTAAATCACAGAGCCAAGGAAGCATCTTTGGTTAGAACTCTATCACCAAACGTCTGCTTTCCTTAGGTTTTCAGATTTTTCAGCTGAAAATTCCAGTCTACTTTTGCCCAGTAATGTAAAATTTTAGCTGAAAAAGCACCGTATCCCCAGTGCTCTTTATAGTTATTGGTGGAAGGAGACTCCCCTTTACTGTGTGGAGAGCTCAACCATTTTCAGACTGTATCAGTCACTGACCAGATTTTGCTTCTCGAGGGGAACCTAAATTACAACAGCCTCCAAACAAGGTCTTATTTTATTTATAATAAAGCTCAGCCTCCACTATACCTTTACTGCCATAGCACATATGACCCTACACTCCCCGAGGAGACTGCCTCAGCCCTGCAATTAGTGGCATACCCGGGCAGGGCCCTTAGCTGGACCCAGCACACCTAGAAGAGCCACCCCCGGCTGAGGAAGGGTGGGTGGGAGCAGCCTGAGGCCGGTCCCTGAGCTGTTTGGGCCTGGGGAGCTGGGATGGGCTGTGCTCAGCAGAGTCTCTCTGAGGCCAGGCCATGTCTGAACGCCATCTGAGGTTACGGCTGACCGTGGCGGCCTCACCTCACCACAGCGGGGAGGCGAGTGTGCCGGAGGCTGCTGTGGGTGTTTTGTAAGCTCTGGAAGATGTGAGCCTCCAGAAGAGCTCTCTGGTGGGAAGAGTTGTGTCCACAGGATGCTATTAGGAGAGAGAGTGCTTGCAGCATATGGTGTTGCACATGGATGAAGAAAAGATAGTCCTGAAATTAACAACAGTTGTAGCTCTGCTTAGAAAAATGGACAATAAGCATTTGTTTGATGAGAAAAAGAGCGAGAAAGAATGTTGGTCCTATCTCCTGCTTGCAGTCACTTCTACATTTGATACTGGTTTTATAAGTGCATCTATTTGCTTTTTGGCTCTTTGTTCTTTTTCTGAAGATGGAGGACAGCAGTGCCTAGCATAACCATTCCTTTCCTGCATGATACAGTGTATAAACCCTGTAACACGTGATGATTCTTTGAACACCCACAGCGTTCAGCTCCCCACTGCTCTACGCTGCTTTCAGCTGGTAAGACCAGGGCATCAGGAGGCAAAAAAGGAGGCACTGCTGAAGTTGCCTGAGACAAGAACAGGTGACTGAAATCTGGCTGTAACGAGTTATTTAACAGAGCCTGCAGCTGTATGAGGTCTTTTGTAGATGAGAAGAACAGATTTCTGGGTACAAATCAAATAAGTGCCTTTATGGAACCTAGTCTCGAGGAGTAAAGTTGTGCTGAAGACTAGTGATGCTGTGTTGAGAGTCTCACTGAGGCTGCTGATGCAGCAGGAGGGGTGGAAGTGGAGGGGTCCTGGCTGAAGCAGCTGTGCAGTGAGCCCCGGCGGCAGCCGCTGCTGCTGGGGTGTGCGAAGCAGGACGAGTGGTGCTCCTCTGATCTGCCCGGTAAGCTTTGTGTGTGAGAGGTGCGGTTTTCTACCTTGGAAAAACCATGTGTTGGCACACAGCTTCCACTCGTAAGACTCAAATGTAAAGTGAGATGAGTTTATTTTGTGGATTTTTTTTTTAATCGTGTGTTTTAAATATTGCCCAAATGTTTAAGTCTATCAAGGTGAATTTCAGTGTGCTAATTTAACCAATCTGTGAGATTTCTGTAACAAGAAAACACTGCTGCTTCAGAATCTGAAGTGTGGTGCAGGGAAGCTCATAAAGATTGAGCTTTTTTGTTTTTCCCTTTTTTCCTCCCCCTAAAGATGATCTAGGGTAATCATCTTCATTTATTAATTATATATTGCTTGTATCAGAGGAATATGGGATGTTAGGGGGCAATCTAGAGTTTACGCTTTGTGGAAAAGGGCCTGGAAGTGGAAAGGTCTTGAGTGTCTCCCAAGTTAATTCTGGTGATATTAATGCAATTCTGGCAGTAAATGAAGTAGTTTTGATAGTGGAAGTTAAGCAGAAAAATGTTCCAGTGTTAGGAACAGTGCAGCAGGGATTTTCTTGTGTTTCTGACTACTTAGGAACTCGAATTGAAATGTGTTACCCTGACAAGGTAGTGTTGTGTGATTCCTTACAGGCTCATGTCTTACCTACATGGAAAAATATTTTGGGGAGGGTAGGGGCTGTTTGCAATCCCAGTGGCTTGATCAGAAACACTGAAATTGAATTCCTTTATTGTAGAGAGGGGGAAAAAACTGTGAAAGGGTAGTTGCTCAGATGAGTGTATGCTTGCAGGTGCACCCAGCTACTAAAAGAACACATCTTGAGTGGTAATAGGCTTTTCACACTTCTCTGTGGAGCCACGTGAAAGTTTTCCCTAAAAATGTGAGTTGTGCTCCCAGAAGAGAGAGGGAGACTAGTTCCAAGTAAAGCTTAACCTTCTGAACCACTATAGCACCTGATAAATGTGAGGCATTTCTGGGCAAGCAGAGGAGACTTGACCACACATGAAGGTCTTAATATTGCTGAATTTAAGCCCCAGATAAGGAAATTGAGGGGAGTTGCCCCTGCAGCTTGTGGAAAACTCCCTCACCAGCACATACTAGTGCATTCCTTTTGTAGGGAAGAGTGTATCTAATCTATATAATGTCAGAAACCCAATTCTGCTAGAACTTGGCAGAGCATGTGCAAAGAATCAGGGAGAGAGAGGCTGCTGCTGGGCTCAAGTCCTTTCACTTACCTGGTTATGCCTGTAGCGAGTCCAGCAACTTAATGAGTTTAAATACAAAAACGTATGCAAGGCTGTTGGGAGTTGTAAAGGATGAGATTCCAGGTAATTGTTAACATTATGGAAATGGTAGGTTATTTTTAAGGATGTGGGCAGGATAAACTTTATAGGTAAAGGTTTGTGGGCCTGAAACACTTTTAGCCTTGAAACCGCTTCTTTCAGATACAGAGGTTTATCTGAAGGTTATTACCTGTACTTGCAAACCTTGGACTGTGATGAAATAGATTCAAAGCAAAGGATGTATTTGTTTTGTTTTGCTTTGCTCCAAGATTCTCAGTTTTCAGTTTGTGTATTCACATATAAATACTTCGACAAACTCCTAGATGTGTATTAAAGTATATTTACCTCTGGGTAGAGAGGCAAACAGTAAGCAGGCAACCATCCAGAGAGCAGTCTCCCTAAGAAAGTGAGAGAGAGAAACACCAAATGCTTTGTTAGAATACTAGAGCAGAGATCAAAGACCTTTTCTCTGTCATGATTTATGCCCTGTTTCACAACTCCGTCTTCTGTGAAGAGAATTTGGATACAAAGCTGGATGGGGTAGAAACCCTGTCTTGTTTTGTTGTCTAGTCTTGGTGTGGATTGTATCTCCTCCCTGTAGGCCTGAGGTTTCTCAATGGTTGTAAGGGGATGGGGACCAGTCACAAACACCAGACCCACATTTCCCACTTGCAGTCTCATGTGGACAAAGTTTATTGTGTATGTGTAGTCATAGTTTCCGCTTGAGATTATTTTCTATTGCCAATTAAATTAAATTCCCTCTGCTCCCAGATTTCAGCTGCTTCTCAGCACAATAAAAGAATATCTTACCTTTTCATTTTTGTGCCTTCCCAGCCCTAAGGAATCCCTCCTTGTCGTGAGCTTCACCAGGTGCTCCAGGTGCTACTTATGTCTCTGCAAAACAGTGAAAGGCTCCTAATTTTTGTTGCCATAAGCATTTCTCCAGAAGGGGACAGATTATTTACTAGTACTTTATTTGCTGTGGTTAAGTCTGTTTTCTTTCACTCTGTGTATGTAGTACAGAGAATGTATACAACAGTGTGTATTTACACCCTGAATACCCTCTTACAATATACAGGATGTGTTTATTTTCATGTGTAGGATGGACATGAGTCAGAAGCCATCCACTTGACTGGCCCTGAGCTTTCAACCCAGTGAAGGGATTCTTGTTCTATAGCCAGCTGAGACCTAATGGGTATTGTATTTATCAAGAGATGTAGACACCATCCCTCAGATTAACAAATACCACCCAAGCTGCATATCTACCAACAAAATACAGACATGGTTAATAACCCTATAAGGAAAATGCTTAAAAGAGGAGCTTCTTTGAGGAGACTGTTAGATCAGGTACTTTCTCAAAGAGGAGGGGAAAAAGAGCAGGAGGTGGCAGAAAGAATGTGGGTTTTGGGCTTCCTCTCTCCATCCTCATAGATTCTTGTAGCTTGAAGAGTACAAATATCTGAGTGATTGTTCCTCCCCAGTGTCCTCCAAAGATAATACTGATGGTGGAAGTAATGGTTTAGCCAAGGTGGTGGTCTTGCTGAGTCAGCTCTTTTTGGGGAAGGTGCTGGTGCTGTTCTGCCTATTGCTCCTGGAGCAATGCTGCTTCCTGGGGTGAGCAAGACCCAAGAGCTGGATTTCTATGTTTCTCCCTCTCTCCTTGTGGCCAAGCCCTGGTTATGCTTCGTTTATCGCCCCCTTTATGTTACCCAGTGCAGGCCATCTTCCATCTTTGTCTGCTTTGACATTAAAACCAGTGTGTCCTTCATGTTGATAAACATCCTGCATTGATGAACTTCTGTGGTTGTCTTCCTCCCTGTTGTAATGGTTATTGTTTCAAGCAAGTGTATAAATTTATACAAAGTGAACTTATGCCATGTGTGTTTCCTTCCTGCCTGCCTTTTGTAAATGAAACTGAGTTACTGATGGCCACTCTTATCTGCCCAACTAGTTCTCCATGGTGCCCCTTAGAGTTTAGCCTTCCTCTCAGCTTTGTACATGTGTTCCACTCCACATAAGGTTGTTCTGTAAAAATACCAGAAAAATACGTGTCCTGCACTCTGGCCTGGCACTGGGGCAAGAACAAGGTGGATCTTAGAGGGACCAGGGCTCCACGCCAACTTGCTGTTAGGCAGCAGCAAGGTCTCCTTCCAGGCTGAAGGAGGGTGGCCTAGCAGCTGCTGCTTTGCAGTGGCACTGTGGCCATGCCCATTCTCTCTGGAGGTAATAAGGAGGTCCTTATGGTATCTCCCTACACAGAAAGAATGAAAAATTTGGTAGGTGTGGCCAGCGAACAGGTCTGTGTAAAGGTACAATAACAGGAGACAGGAATGACATGAAAGTCAGAGTTCCTAGTTGTGATGTCAGTCATTTTTGATTCTGACTCAAGAACCGCATGAAGGTGGTTGTTCCAGCTCAGCCAGCTGGTTTGTGTCTCTGGCTTTGGCTGGCTTACTCCTACAGAGTCCCTGTGAGGTTTCTGGTTCTCAAATATGCCTGTACAAAAGTCTTGGACTAGGGGGGAAGTGGGATCAGACCTGAAATACCAAATTGCATGTGAATGTTGAACCCTCTTGCCATCCACGTGCTTTTGTTACTTCCCTACTGAAGTTTGAGCTTGTACCTAAAAGGAGCAAGGCAGGTCTTCTTTTAGGAAGCAATATCTAACAGCAGGAACACTTCAGACTGGTCTGGCCAGAGCACTTGACCCTTAATTTAGCTTAATCCAGTGCTGTTTAGTTGAAATAACATTTCTTTCTGGATTGAGTTGACTGTACTCAGAAGAAAAATATTTACACTCAGCCTCCAGAAGAATTGTATACTAAAGGGGAGATCTGTTCCCATCTGTGTAGTTCAGCTGGTGTAAGATGTTTCAGTCACCACATGGATCAGCATTTAAAATAGTTTCTACTTGGTAGTTCATATATTTTATTTTTTCCTTATTTTTAAGTGCTAGTTTAAATGAAATGGGAATTTGGAAAACAAATAAATACTTTTTTCTTATTTTTTTTTTTTCCAATTTAAAAGCTGATCCATGTACTACTCATTTTAATACGACAAAGGAATTATTTAGGACTTACTTTTCACAGGTTACAACAATTAACTGAGTAAGGCTTTGCAATGAAGAATCACTTCTTGAAGAATTAAAATACTAATTAATAACTTTTTAAACACACTAACCTACCTGAAATAATTAAGGCTTGTGACATAATTAAAGCATACGATTAAATTGCAAAACTCTGAACTTCTTGGCAATGTCTCTGTCATTCAACTTTTGCGTCATGTGTGTGAGGCTGTTTACTGAACATGTTAGCTCAGTCTGCAATAAAATTAATCAAGTAGACAAGTAACCCAATGTTCTCAGTGCCTGTAGAATAGCAATACTTTTGCATCCCAAAGTAAATTGTTTCAGGTTGTCTCTTTCTAATGCAGGAAGTATGAGAAAGGGTCTAAATGCTACTGTTGAAGGCTTTACACTCTTGGAGCACTAAAACTCATAAGTTAAGAAAGTTATATTTTCCAGATGTGTTCTGTTAACCCTGGAAATAGTGTTGCTGCAGTATATTAGGGACATTCCCCTGTAAACAGCTTTGTTGGTCAGGACACCTGGGTTGGCAGCAGGGGAAAATGCTATGAGTAGAGATACTGTTCCTGAGCCAGAGGCCCATGTTGTGTGCAAAATTTTTTTTGTTGTTGTGTTGCTTTTTTTCCCTATTGCCTTAAACCTTGCTCTGAATTCTGTGGGCAGCTGTTTGATCACCAGGGATAGCACAGCTGGAGCGTGACCCACCTGTGATCATACAGTGGACAGCAGTTCTGGAGGCTGAACAGCCGGGTTATGGTGCCAGAAAAAACAGGTGGTTTCAGTGCTCAGTCCAGCAGTGGCTTGCAGCCACGGTGCACCTGTAAACTTTCACTGCAAAGAATGATCAGTTTGGGATCTAGACCAGAAAGGACCTGGGAACTGAAAATCTATAGAAGGATGGTGAGATGCTGTTATGGGATGATGGGCTGCAGTAGGTTGCTGGCCTGGGCAGTGAGGGAGGTGCTGAGCTGGAACCCTTTTGACACGGAGGAGGTACTTCTGTGAGGTGACCAAGTGTGACACTCCTTTAAAAGTCATTGTGAACTAAGTGTACATGACAATTTGGCTGTTATAGTGAAGGGATTGATTTGCTTGCCAGCTCTTCCACTTCATTTGCCAACCTCCAGTACTGTCTGAGTAACATAGGTAATGCAACTGGGCTCTGAATGAATGGGGATACAAGTTGAAACAGGAACCAGCTGGAGAAGACACTAGTAATTTTGAAAGGGTTAGCCAAAATCACCTGGCAGATGAATGAAAGCCACTGGCAAGAAGGAAATTGTTCATTATGCACCTGGCAAAGCTTTGTAGCTTAGTCACCAATAGTTTCTTCAAGTGTTTTCCCCCTTTTCCCTTGCATGCCTTTGGCTTTTGAGAACAGATTTATGCAAGCTGACTGTTACTGATGCTTGTAGGAGGACAGGAGGACCTTTGTCTCTGATCTTTGAAATCATGAGCAGAGAAATGTCACCTCACTGTTCCTTATCCACATGAAGGCAGTTTTCTGTAATTTCTTTAAATGCTCTCCACTCACGTAACTACACAGTCCTTTTACCTTTAGGTAAAAGCTAATAGGTAGTAGAAAGATGAATGAGCTTGCAAGCGGAAATTATGGTCTGGCTTTTTAGAGAAAGTTCTTATGATGCAACAGTCTATACTGAAACTGGGTGATTACTTCTGATCTTGTCTGAAAGCATTCCGTAAACAAAATGAGGCATCAGTTAGAGACCTGTCCTGTAATTAGTTCAAGGGAAGATATTTATGAGGTCTTGATGAGGGACATGCTGGCATGTGTCCAAAAACGACAACAGCTTTCTCTTCTAGCATTTTAGATTTTGAAATAAATTACCCTAATCTGAAAACATTTTACTGGGAATTTGTGAACAGTGGCAGTCAATGTTACCATAGTGAACTGCTGTGTGATTCACCCTCTCAGGTCAAGGCAGTGGGAAGAAGTGCCCTTTGCCTCCCAGGGGGCTGTCCGGAGCTTCAGGCTGCAAATTGCGCTGTGGTGGCAGCCGGGCTTGGGCTTGGGCTCCTTATCTTAAGGTGTGCTGCAGCAAACTTCACACACTTGTGAGGGTGGCTGGTCTGGTTTTCATGTTTGTTTGTTTTAGTAAAGTTTATAGCTGTTTAATGCTCTCTGAACTTGTCCTTATCTGTTGTGCACTTGAGTGTTGTGTACTCTGTTCATGCTCCCTCTCTTCCCTCCCAGTGCTCCAGTCACACCGCCTACGCTGTGGAGGTGGCATGTGGTGGGTGGGGTTGCTGTCTTTGGGCTTGCTTATGTTTCCCCATGCTGCTGGAATTTCCATTTGCCTATTTAAGGCTTATCTTAGGCCATAGTCAGGCTCTGGGGACTGAAAGGTTACCAAGTGCATATCTAATCTGAAAAGTTACTCTTCCTCAGGGATAAAGAACGAATGACTTTGCTCCCAGTGGAAAGCTGTGCCCCATACAGACTACTACAGCAGGAGTTTACACACCTTTTCCTGGCTCTGAACAAATATTTTTGGTAAGGGGGAATTCATCCACATTTATAGAAATAAAATGTGTGGAGGGAATGGAAATTACAGTTTATATCTGATCAGAGTTTCCAGAATCCAAACACACAAAGATCTTCCAAAAGGTTTCGAGGAAAACAGCAAAACTCTGGGTATGTCTGGCCAAAACAGGGAGTACGTATGAGCTAGCATAATTGATAAACTGTAATGTTCAGGAAAGAAGACTTTATTCTTGATTTCAGAATAACCTTTCTAAATATCTGTCAGACTAAACTGAAATAATATGTGGCTTTGCAAAACGGGAA